GATAATCTCTTTACAAGATAAACACTCTAAAATGATATGAAACAATGTTTTAACCAGAAATGAAAATACGCCCCTAACCATTATAAGGTAGGATTATGACTGCAGTGGCGTCACCAGGTACTTTGCCACCCGATGCGATTAGTTCATAGTATTAGCTCCCCCTCTCGCCAATCAATTCTCATTTCAAATTATTCTTATACCTGATATTTTTTCTGATATGTATAATGGCTCAAACAGAATCATCTTGCCGGAGATGTATAAAAATAACTTGACAACAAACTGAAGAAATATTTGTTTTCCTTTCTTTATTAAGTTTGTTCAAACTAAATGTATACGTAGACTTTTAATTTAATACCAACTTGACATAAATCTCTAGATATTATTAAACTTTTTTACTAATACAACCTTACAAAAAAAACTTAATGCTACAACTTTAAATAGTGGAACCGCAACTGTTTAAAAACTCAGTACAACACAAGAATCAGTTACAATGCAAAGACCTTTATTATGCAAGAACCCGTTACTATGCAAGAATTTTAACTGACTTGCTTTCCCCCAATTTTTACTGTTCTAAACCGTATTTTCCAGAATCCCTGAAACTTATTCCAAATACCTTATTAACTATGACATTCTAGAAACGTATGTTATTTTTTTCCTAATTGGATGATTATAATTAACATGTCTTTGTTCTGCGTCTTCTATGACTTGACCCCGGCTTCTAGAAACAGGTCGAATTAGGACACAGTATCGCTTCGTGACAATAATGACCCATATGCTTCTTCGAATCCCATTTATGTCCATCTCTTTGTTAAAATTACTAGCCATTATGATGATACGAATCTATTTAATCTCATCAGTTTATAGAGCAGGAGTTCTCAACCTGTGAGTCGCGACCCCCTTGGGAGTCGATTGACGATTTGCCAGGGGTTGCCAAAGGCCATCGAAAAAATGGATTGTTTTTATCTATTCTTCTATTCCTGTGCGTGTGTGCTGGAGCGGGGGGGGGGTCGCGGCACAGAGTTGGGTTGTAAGAAGGGGTCACCGAGATTAAAAGGTTGAGAACCGCTGCTATAGAGAATCAACTTTATGGTGTCATGGATAAGGTTTGATTTGGCCTAGACAAAGACGAGACAACAATGATTTTTTTTTCCTTTTAGGATGTTATATTGGAAGACAGGGCCGGTCCTAACAGTTGCGAGGCCCTAACCCTATGAGGGGCCTATGAAAGCGCAATGCCCATTGCGACCGCATAGGTTGCAGTGGCCTAAGACCGGCCCTGTTGGAAGACACAAAAACAAAATGTTAAGTAGCTGCTTTTTTTTCTTTCAGAGACTAATGGTGTTATTGCAAATATAAATAAAGACCAACCCGTTCTCCAAGGAAGTCATTTAAAAGATGCTCAGGGTAAAATTTTCGACAGCCGACTCAAAGATTCATATCTTCAAGTCACATGGAGCAATGTGAAATTTTCAGAGTCTGGAAAATATTTTTGTGAAGCTAATGTTAAACATTCCGATGGAAGAGCTGAGAGACTCAGTGAGATGTTGATCCTTGCAGTCGTGAGTCCAACTGTTGATGATTTGGTCAAAGTAGTGGAGAAACTATTAGGTCAAGTGGATGAGGACACTAAACATATTCAGGAAAATAAACAAAATATAAAACACATTAAAGAAGACTTGAAAACTAAAGAACAAAATATACTAAGCAACACAGCAGATTTAAACAGTACACAACAAACTATAGGAAGCATGAAAGAAGACTTAGCTATAAATCAACATAATATATCAAGCCTTAAAGAATACGTGGCTGCCAATCTCGAAAGTCTACAGAGCATAAAAGAAGACTTGAACATTCAACAACGAAATATCATACGTGTTAAAGAAGACATCGCAATAAATCAACAAAATATATCAAGCATTAAAACAGAGGTGGCCGTAAATGAAGAAAACTTAATAAGCTTACAAAAAGATTTTAACATTCAACAACGAAATATCACAAGTATTAAAGAGGACTTCAACACTTTTTACAAAAACATGAGCAGCTTACAAGAGATCATCATTGCCAATCTTTCCGCTACGCTTGAGAAAGTGAAAAATCAGACAGGTAAATGTACATTGTTCTTTCATTTGAATTAAGAGAAAGTATACTTTTGGGGCTAGTTTTACTTACAAACTAATAACCAGTTGAAGTTAATGCATACAATTAGAAGTGAAAAGTACATTGTCAAATAGAAAAGCCAAACAAAAAGTTTTGATTTATTATCGTTAGGTTGTTTATTTAAAAAAAAAAAAATGAATGACACAAAACACCGAATCCTACTGATATTATTAATAGCCTAGCTTTCACATATTTAACGAAAAAAAAACCCCAGTAAAATAGTAATAATATTGAAGTCAAAGAGTTACACGAGTTACTAATCCCTCTCAATCTTAGTACAGAAAACATATGTTTATTGTACGGTAATTTTTAAAAGGTTATAATGGACGTAGCAGAGGTTCCCAAGGAACGCTTCAAAGACCAGCTTAGGCGCCAACTTACCTCAGCTGACATAGAAGAGAGCACCTGGTTGCATACGGCCTCAGAACGAGACAGCTGGAGGTCACTCACAAAGGCAGCGGCGTACACTTTCGAGACCAAAAGATAATCCGCTACAGTGGACAGACGCAGACGGTGAAAAGAAAATATGTAGGTCACAGCTGGGGCTGCATGGCTACGGAAAATACTGCATTACTCAATCCTCATTAATCTTCCGATTCGAAGACTAGCCTTATTATTATTATAATAGACTAAGAATACATTTACAATCAAATGATTTTCAATGGAATCTATTTTTTTTATATTGGCATAGTTCTATGTAAATTTAAATAATGCGGTGACTGAAAATTTATTATTTAAATAATTCCATGGTGAACGGCGAATTCATCAGCTCCTCTTACCATAACAAAAACTCGTTCATACTTTACTCGGTCAGACTTTATCAACGTCACTCGTTGGTCAGGAAACATGAAAAGGACCAAGATGCCAGGGTGTAGTCCGTGAAGGAACTCTTTATATTGTGTCTGTTCTATTTAGGTAAATGTTTCTGTTGGTTTGCTTTAGTTGCGAAAAGAGGCATTATAATCACAACAAATTTCCATAAGGATCAATAAATAAGTCTTTGTTTTAAGTCTATTTATTGAAATAAAAAATAGAAAATGACTGTCGACTAGCAGTTTAAACATCTCTTTGAACAGTTGTCGTCATTGCATTTTGGTGAATCTGAAGAATGTTTTATATTTCCTGAAAGTTTGTAAACCGTTACTTCATATTGATTTTGCATGAATTTGTTGGTTTTAGGGGGAAAATGTATTCTGAGCTACTTTTCAGGTATTATCGTTCAGACATTCACCTTTTCATCTCTTATGTAAAAATGGCAGTACAAGTTATCGGTCGTGCCTACAACTTTTCGGATTTAGTAGGGAGTTGGCATAAAGATTGTTGCTAATTGTGCTACTGACCCTAACTTGATAATTGCTCGTTGGTCGTTGGTTTGTAGCTTCACACAGCTAGCACAACAAAACCAATGTGCATTTAATTCATAACATAATATTGAAAAAAGTTAAACAAGCTTCTTTTAAAACAAAACCGAATATAATTTTCATAAACTATAGGCGTATTTTGTTTTTATGGTTTGTTATGTTTCATTTGTTTTAGTTAATGGTCTCGTGGCCCATGTGTTCTTTTTACTTGGTACAGCAGGGTTTCTTGTTAATGTTTATTGTATTTACTAAAAAAAAAATTATTTTATGTTTATTTTAGTTTTTGTTTCAGAACAGTATGTAGTGCCATAGACCGAAAAACTAAGTTTTATACCTGCAATCGTTACCATCTTAAGACAATAAATCCCACACAACTCCCCCTTTGTAGACACTGCATCTACCCTTATAAAATTTAAACCATATCTTCTTTGAATGCCCCTTCCTAATTCACCTTAGGCAGACCCTACTACCAGTACAGCCTAACATAACCAACACTCTGTACGGCAGCGCTGAGCAACTGAAGAGAAAAGCACACTATTTTTCTCTATTGCAGTCTGCAAAAGAGCTGACAGCTCAGCAGCAAAAATCTAGCTAGAAGAAAAAGATGAATCTATTTTTTATATTATGATATATGAGCTCTACTCCAATATCTTTTTGTATCGAATAGTGTTTCTATGCTGCTTGTTAAACATAAAAATGTACTTTCATTTATCTGGTTGGAAACCAATATTTCCTCTAAGCTATAGTTTATTAGATGTGCTTTTTTTACATGTAATTTGAATTACTTATATTTAAGTTTTTTGTTTCAAAAGGTTAATTTTTCTTTAATCATTTCATTTCTCTACAGAATTGTCACCACCTATTTCTTGTCGCAACGTTATCAATAAAGACGAGCGCACTGTTGTCGTTTTAGCTTCCGGACTAAAGGTCATGTGTGACACAAAAACAGACGGAGGTGGATGGATCATCTTTCAGAGAAGAATCAATGGAAGTGTAGATTTCTATAGAGGCTGGCAGCAGTATCGTGATGGCTTTGGAGATTACAACATTGGTGAATTTTATCTGGGGAATGAAAATATATTTAAATTAACTTCTACGAGAAAATATGATTTAAGAATAGATTTGGTTTTAATAAATCAAGCGTATTATGCGCAATATTCGATTTTTCAAATTTTAAGTGAAAAAGACAATTACAAGATAAATGTGGGAGGCTATTCTGGAAATGCCGGTGACAGCCTATTGTATCATAATGATATGTACTTTAGTACGTTTGATAATGATAAAGCTTCAGCCAACTGTGCAGTACCAAAGCACGGAGCTTGGTGGTACAAAGCTTGTTACGAGTCAAACCTGAACGGTAAATGGGGAAGTTCCCAAAGAGAAAAGGAAGTGAACTGGAACTCGATAACTAATACTGCCCGTGTCGGTGTTTCATTTACTGAGATGAAAATAAGAGAAAGAGAGTAGAAGTAGTTCTTTACTTTATTATCTTATCACCTAGTTGTACTATCTCTTATTATCTTATCACCTAGTTGTACTATCTCTTTTATGTCTACATCTTTACTCTTTCCGTCTTGTATCTATTACTATATTCTGCTAAAATAACGGCTGCTGACCGGAAAAAAAGTGAAGGCATTTGTTTACGCGAACTGTCACAGCATCCTAACAGCGAAAGTCAAGAGACAGACGTGATACAAAAGTGATTTAAAAATGTTAGCATGCTCCTTATTAAAATTCAACCTAGTTTGACAAATCTTGATTAAACTTGGCAAAAGTGTTCCTCAGATCATGATCTAGTCAGTAGTATTTGTTTAGTCTCTCTATCGTTCCCATGTGATTCTAAATAAAAAAAGACCAATTCTGTATACGCAATGTATATTACTAGATGTAGGGCAATCAGCCACCTCTCCGTATATCAGGGTGGATTGTTAGGCACCTAGTTTATATTATTAGTTAGAGACGTACCATAGAAGATGTATACTGAACGGGACTAGTGGCGCTTGGGATATTTTGGGTTAGAGACTGGAAAATCAGTTAGCAATAGAATTCTCTAGGATAAAGACGTGTTTTATTTGACAAGAGACTTTTATTGTGGCCTTTTATTAGATTAAACGTATTATTCATTGTTCATCAGTTTTGACCACATCTTTTCACTAGTTAAAAAATAGATGTGTGTTATCTTTGTACTGTTGTTCAACTACATTGAATACACCCCGAAAAAAAACAACAAAATGCTTGCTGAGTAATTGAGTTAAATCTAACAAACATCTACAGTTGACTTCAGTACAAGATAAATATCCATCCCAGGATAAAAGAAATGATACAATGAAATGAGCATGTTGGGCATATGATGTGTAGACCTTCTGTTTCTGTTGTCTTTTAGCTAGTGAACATCCATAGCTTTACTCCCATAGATAATTCCGAGGTATTAGTTTCTGTTTTTACTTACCAGTGCTAGTAATGGTATCGGTTTGTAGGTTTAGAAGTGACCATGTTAATCCTTCGATAACATTGTCATTGATCGGGTTTCATTGTCATTGTCATTTGCCAGTTGTGACTCATTTGATATTATTTATGTCACTGCCCGGTGTCTTGCTAGTATTAAAATTTCAAAGATGAATGCATACCAAATCATGTATTGATCAGTGTTTCCCAAACTGTACTCTGCGAAACTCTGGTGTTGTGCGAGGGTTGAATATGTGTTTCCTCAAACAACTGTAAAAGATTAACTAGAAGGAAACATCTATAAAAGTAAGCAAAGTGTCCCTCTAAATACTCAAAATGTGTAAAGTGTTCCGTTACTGAAAAAAAAAAATTCGAAAACACTGGTATAGATCAAGAACATTAAGAAGATGTTTGCATTTGTTTGATATTGTAGAAGTCTCATCATTGTTTTGGTTGTTATATATGTATTACTTTATATTCAAGTTTAACTACTTTTATTGAAATATTTGTTTTTAAACTTAGAGTAAAACTAGACTTAGAAAAACATTCCTTAAATTGAAAAATACTCCATAAAATATCTACAGTCACAGCTCAACAAAATCATAATACATGAATATATCCTTACTACATAAATTAAGGAGGGCCATGGTGGTTTCCTAACCAGGGGTCCGGGGTTCGAATCGCGGTGAAGAATGGGATTTTGAATTTCTGGATTTTTAGGGATAATGGGTACTTGACTTTCGTTAGGAAGAAAATGTCAACGCGGTTGGTGGCTGTGCTGGTTACATGACATCCAGTTCTTTAACAGTTTACCATAGAAACAGATGGCCTTAGAGTTATTTGCGTCAGAAAGGAAAACTTTACTATACTGGAATGGATTAAATAAATCTATTCTATACAGACCAAACACACTTCCTCTATCTATCTATAGATATATAATTCTCTTCTTCCCTCAACAAGTTTGTTCGAGAAGAAGATGTAAAGGAAAGAGCAGGCCACAAGGGGGGGGGGGGGAGAACAAGTGTTCACAAAATAGAATGGGCCAGACCGTTGTGACAAGAAAAGATTACTCTTTTTTTTTTTTAATTTCTACCTCTCGTAAAAAAAAGGTAGTCAAGCCAAGCCAAATTCAAGCGCACTTAGCCTCTCGACCACGCTTCCCACGCTACAACAATAAATCCAAACGACAATCCAGCGCGAAAAAACGCACCACCAGGCATGTCCCAAATTAATGTGTTTATAAACATTTTAATAATAAAATTGATATTCTCCCACAGCAGTAACACATTACGTTTCTTTGAAACGAGTTCTTTATAACAACTGAAGCTTAACAATGCTGAAACATATTCATTTTAATATGTAATCTAATTGTAATTTTTCAATACCTACTAGTTTAAAGATTTAAAAAAAAAAACATGTAATATAATGATTAAGGGTACAACAGCATATTTCGCACTTTCAGGTTACGAAAGTTTAGCTTGAATGTGGTGACCAGCGTGTATTTCAAAAGTGGATGTCTTGTGTGATGTCTAGTGTATGTCTTGTGTGGATTTTGCTATGAGCTAGGCTACAACATATAAACGGGAAACAGGTGCGCAACAAACAGACTATATAATATAAATAACAGTAAACTTTCATAGTGATGTTTATTGACAAATAGAAAGATAAATAAAATGAGGAGCGCTGAATTTTTTTTCTTAATCAGAATGTTTATCATTCATATCATCATAATTAGAGTTATTCTTAGAGTCATTCTTAGAGTCATTTATATCATCATACTTGGAGTCATTCTTAGAGTCATTCTTAGAGGCATTAGAGTCATACTTAGAGGTATTCTTAGAGTCATTCTTAGCGTCATTCGTAGTGTTATTCTTAACGTCAATCTTAGCATCATTCTTGGAGTCAATCTTAGCGTCATTGTTAGCAAATATGTAATAAGACTGAAAGTATAGCACTTTGTCTTTGGTTAGGTAGCTTCTCTGATGATAGTAGCGCCAGCGATGTTGTAGGTGGCTGAGCTTCTCAGTTAAAGGCTTGCCGCTGAGGATGGCAGTCTAGCTGGTCGCCGTTGCCAGAGTGATTGTGTTGTATACAGTATTGAATGCAAATATTATGAGAAGAAAAGCGATCGGCAGGCCATCATTATATTACTCATGTAGTAATTAATCGTTTGTTTCAAGTGTACAGAATAGTCATCAATAGTCGACCTACGGCGTAGCATACGGCCGCTATTTACCGGAAGTATTAATGTCAGTAGCGTATTGTCAAGCAGAGAGCATGGCTGCTCCCATTTCTAAGAGCAATAACAGCGTGTCGTCATAGTTACCATTAGTGTGTGAATACAATTTCAATAAACTTCTAAATGTACATGACATCCTGTTTACACTTTCTAGGAGTTGAATATATTTTCAGAGACAGAGAGACCTTATTGAGCTCATCAAAAGCGATGCAATACAAATATTTGCATTTCAATGTCAGTTACACAAATCTGGATTCAGTGGCGTAGCTGGCGGGGGGGAGGAGAGGGAGGATTTGGAAATTCCCCTTGGGCCCCATTTTTAAGTTAGAAGTACACAATAGAAATATTACCGATCTTCTCGTCACTGTGGTAAAACAATACTAAAACATTGATACCACTCTGTAGATTAAAAACACACTTATTAACTCCTTCTTTCTTATTTGACGATACCATCATTGATTAGTCTCCATTATTTTTTTTTCTTTTTTTTATAAACATTTATTTGTGTCACAGAGAAAAAGCATGCATTCCCTTTCCCAAATCTAGACTAAATAAAACATTGTCTTATAACAAAGTTATAAAAGTTAAATCATAACAGGGAAGTGAGCTACAAATAAACAAAAAGAACGATTCCGTCGGATGATGGAAAATTCTTACGGAGAGAAAGAGTTAAACATGTCAGTTAGCAACCACTTGCACACTTTTCTTTAAACTGAAAAAAAAGCAAACATTCCATCCTTTTCAGATTTATCTTAATTTTACAAGACCCCCCCCCCCCCCCCCCAATTCCCTTTTTCTCCTTTTTTTATTATTGTCTTTTCTGTTTGAAGGCCTCGTGGCTTAAACGTATCTTGTTGGGTACTTGCTATTTATGTTAATTGTATGTTCATTGTACCTTCATTGTATGTTCATTCTAAGTTCATTGTATGTTCTTTGTAACTTCATTGTATGTTCATTCTAAGTTCATTGTATGTTCATTGTAACTTCATTGTATGTTCATTCTAAGTTCATTGTATGTTCATTCTAAATTGATTGTATGTTCATTGTAAGTTCATTGTATGTTCATTGTACCTTCATTGTATGTTCATTGTAAATTCATTGAATGTTCATTGTATGTTCATTGTAAGTTCATTGAATGTTCATTGTATGTTCATTGTAAGTTCATTGTACGTTTATTGTATGTTCATTGTATGTTCATGGTATTTTGTAATACTAAGGCTAAGACTGCTTGTGATTACAAGGACTCTTTTCTTCTATAAAGAGGACACAACAGAAACATAGACACATAAATACACGCAGACACACAACATATAGAGTTCATTCAGCGACTACACACAGGGTCTTTTACATACGTGGTTGTTGTTTTTTTTATTAATACTGAAAAATATTTTTAGAGTTAACTCTTTCTCTCCTAACTGACGATACCAACGTTGATTCCACCAGAATGAGGTAAATAATTACGGAGAGAAAGAGTTAAGCAACAAACCAAAAATTGCAAAGTTGACTACAAGTGCACATTTTGCGTATTTTGTACACAAATGGACACGAAAATACGCGAGTACGGTTTATAAGTTGAAAATACGCATTTCCACCTCTAAAGTAAAAAAAAAAGAATAATAATTTAATTTTTAATAAAAGTAGTTTTAGCTAAACACCAATGTATCAATGCCTAGAAATGGATTATTCTTATTAGATCTACCACGAAATAGTATTACTTTTTTTTTTACTGATCTACATAAAGCAGAGTTTCTTTTCAATGTGACAATAACCATGAAGTCTTTAAACTGATTAGGAATAAATTGATTGAATATATCTAATTCATCTAGACTGGATCTAGAACTAGAGATGTTTTACGATGTCAGGCACCTACAATAGAATTAACGTTTTTTTTTTACTGATCTAAAGGAAGCAGAGTTTCTTTCAATGTGTCGATTGGTATGAAGTCTTTAAACTGATTGGGAATGAATTGATTGAATATTTCTAATTCATCTAGACTGGACCTAGAACTAGAGATGTTTTACGATGTCAGGCACCTAAAATAGGATCTACGTAAATATAGGTTTAGAATTCAGATCTAGAATCTAGATCTAGATCCAACTAAATACTGCTGAAAATGGTAAGTAGTGCTCCTATACTGTCCACACCAGCCTCCAGGAGACCATCGTTTTATGTAAGGTAGTCTGACACACATATTCATTAACAACAGAACTTAGTGCTTTTAAAACAATGGTATGGCACTAAGAACTTGTTGCTCTATAGAAGAACATCTCTCAACACTTGTCAAAGAAATTTTCGCTTCATGTTCTTATAATGCCAAAAATCAAGTGCTAGTATAAACAAGCGAAAAATTAGAACAACAACTGAGCTTATATTAGATGTATCAATTCATTTGGATTAGACTAACAAAAATAAATATGTGTGATTATAATTATAATTTTTGTACTGATTTTTTTAAACGCAATTTAACACTTTTAGCTATTTCAATACGTCCTGATGCTTTAGCTTGTCTCGACCAGTTGGAAAGGGGGAGAAAGTAGGGAGTAACTGGGTGATCGCTTTTTAATGTCATTTAATAAAAAAAAAAGAAACAACCTGAATTCGAAGTTTTAGGCCTAACCCTTCGCAAGCCAACGCTTAACCACTCTACTTCTCAACCCTTTGTCACAATATCCGTAAGTGTTTGACTCCCAGTTCAGCAAAGGAAGTGTATCCATAACTGTAAAATATCTGACTGCATAGAAGAGACAACAAGTCGGAGCAATGAATCTAGAATTCTAGATGTCCGTCCAGGAGACGATTGCGTAATATGGGTTTCGCCCGATTCATCACTGAAAAGGTTTTTACAAATAAGTGCTCGCTTAGGCTTGTTTTCTAAGATTCAACAAAGTTTCTGCAAGCAACATGGAGTAGAAATCAATTGTCTGCACCTTTTGAAATTTGACAAGCAAGAATGTTCAGCTTTGTAAGTGTAGTAACCTAATGAAAAACTACAAGAAGGCATGTCTTGATCTTAGGCTTTATTTAACAAGAATGAGAAAACAGTTCACAATAACGCATTACACACACACACACACACACACACACACTAGCTGACCTGGACACCATGACATTTTGACATACAAGACAAATTAGTTCACAACACACAACAAGAACATAAATACACAA